CGCCGCTGGTTTCTGTCACTGCTGTGACACTTCCAGTGTGACTTTTGGAGGCACCCAAACAAGACAGTCAAGAGCCCAAGAACCCAAGAACCCAAGGCCAGAGTTTCAGGATGACTTTTGGGGGTTTTTGGTCCCTTTTTCCAGTCACCAGTGAGGTCAGGTCCGCTGGAATCCATAAAGTTAGAGAGTTTTTAAGAAATAGTTTAAAAAGTATAAGCCTCAGACTGAAGTTTTGTTAGCATTGCAAATACAGCAGAAAAGTTTTCTAAGCAGTAGAGCATACGTGACAAATAACAATAAACCTCTGTAGAATTGGCTTATAGATAGCAACAAAGTTTTTTAATGTATATCTTTAAAAAGTTAGCATGAATAGAACTCTGTTCTTTGTCTCTTATGAACCAATCTTTGTTTTAACTACCATTACGTGTGTTTTATAAGATTAGATAGAATGCTTGTCAACATGTGTTGTTCTATGTATAATTAGCTGAAATCTAAGCTAAAATAGTTTTATGCTATGCTGTAATACCCCACCTCCTTAACATTCCCTGTAGATCAGCGAGCTGTTAACATCCTGTCTCCATTGTCTAACAATGTCCTGAGACTGATGTGCTGAAAATAAAAAAAAAGCTCTTATAGTCTAGATTGTCCAATGTTGTCCATATCTAGAAGTAGTTGCTGCAGTCAATAGTTTCCTTAGTAAGCGTGAGCTTCTGACATAAATTAAACATATATATTTCCCCACAAGGTCCTCTGTGCCTGACTCAGTTTTGGGCAATCTGTGTGCAGACACCCCGGGTGTATTATTGTGTCGTTGGAAATAAAATCTGTATCGTAACACATAAAACCCAGGAGATGTTCATGGCCCTGCTGTCATCCCCAACCAGGAATCCCCACATCAAACTCCCAATCCCTCCAATCCAACCTTCGTTAACCAGCCCCGTAAACGATGAATAATTCGGGAAGGATAAAACCACTCAGTCAAGCTGGATGGAGAGGGGACAGAAGGAGCAGGGAACGAAAGCCAGGTGGAATTGCTGGTGAGCAGCAGTGAGCCAGGTTTGTGGTTCGTGGGGCTGTGGTTAACCAGGATGTGGTTCACGAGCACAAGTGTCACCCACGTGTCCTCCTGCTCTGCCAGCCCATGTCACACCCCCACATGGGCTTGGTCGAGTCTGCTCTGGAAAAAATCTTTAAAAAAACACAAAATCGGGTCCCTCTTCTGCTTTATTCTGGTCTTGTAGAGTGGAATTATGGCAACGTTTTGCTCCATTGTTGTTGGAGTTTTTCCTGCATTGATTTTCTATATAGAAACCTCTCCAGAACTTTCTAAAGGAGTGAATTGATGCTGTGTTCTAGCAGAGCAGTTGACAAAAAAAAAAAACCAAACAACTCAATTGGAAGCAAGATGGAAATATTGCAGACTAGTCCAGTAAATAAAGTATATATTTTTAATAGTCTCTCTGTTTTAGTGTCTAGGTGTTGTATTTAGGCATACAGTGAATTACATTTTGGAAAGGAGGAAGATCCCTGTCCATACCGTTCACTTGAGTTCTGGACTGGATGATCCTTGTGGATTTCTTCCTCTTCTTCTTCATTCTGGTTTTAGAGACTGGAATTGTGGTCATATTTCACTGCATTTCGCTATTGTTGGGGTTTCTCCTGCATTTATTTTCTATCTAGGAACTTCTCCAGAACCTTCTGACACAATAAATTGATTCTGTGTTCTAGCAAAGCAGGAGGTGTCAAACCCTAAACTGGAAATCAGATGGAAATAGTGCAGATTAGTCCAGTAAAAAATAGTGCAGATTAGTCCAGTAAATAAAGTAGATTTTAAAATTCTCTCTCTGTTTTAATGGTCTAGGGGTTGTGTTTAGTGTTACAGAGAATTTTATTTTGGAAAGAAAGAAGATCCCTGTTCATTTTACATTTCTATTTAATATTCTATTTACATTTCTATTGAAATTTCTACTGAAATTTACCCTTGCTTATACAGCTGTTTCTATTTCATGTTTACATTTCTATTTAGTATCCTATTTACATTTCTAATGAAATTTCTATTTAAATTTAGCCTTATTTATAGAGCCATTTCTATTTCATTTTTTACATTTCTATTTAATATTCTATTTACATTTCTATACATTTCTATTGAAATTCCTATTGAAATTTCTACTGAAATTTAATCCCATTTATTGAGCTATTTCTATTTCATTTTTACATTTCTGTTTACTATCCTATTTACATTCCTATTAAAATTTCTATTGAAATTTGGCCTTATTTATAGAGCTGTTTCTATTTAATTTTCACAACTCTATTGAAATTTCTTTTGAAATTTGGCCATATTTATAGACCCATTTCTATTGAATTTTTACATTTCTATTGAAATTTGGCCTTATTTTTAGACCTATTTCTATTTCATTTTTACATTTGTATTTAATATTCTATTTAACATTCTATTTACCTTTCCATAGAAATTCCTATTGAAATTTGGCCTTATTTATAGAGCTGTTTCTATTTAATTTTCACATTTCTATTGAAATTTCTTTTGAAATTTGGCCTTATTTATAGACCCATTTCTATTGAATTTTTACATTTCTACTGAAATTTAGCCATATTTATAGAGTTATTTCTATTGAATTTTTACATTTCTATTGAAATTTGGCCTTATTTATAGACCTATTTCTATTTCATTTTTACATTTGTATTTAATATTCTATTTAACATTCTATTTACCTTTCCATAGAAATTCCTATTGAAATTTGGCCTTATTTATAGAGCTATTTCTATTTAATTTTCACATTTCTATTGAAATTTCTTTTGAAATTTGGCCATATTTCTAGACCTATTTCTATTGAATTTTTACATTTCTCTTGAAATTTAGCCCTATTGATAGACCTAAGTGAAGCAAACAATAAAATTGTGTGGAAGGGAAGAAGTTCCTCGCTGGGGCTGGAGCCAGGGGGTGAAATGAGGGCGGGGGAGGAAGAGCCTCAATTTCCTCCCAGCAATTCCTGGTTCCCCTCTCGGGGTGGTGTCCCCGCTGTCTCTGGCTGATCCCAGAGGTCCCTGCCAGCCCCGAGTCCCTGCTGCTGAGATAAAGATGCTGCAGCTGCTGCCAGGCAATGTTTTCACTGCTGCCAAGGCCAACGCCATCAGCTGAGGTCCCCTCAAAGGTGCAGAGTGTTATTTCTGCTCTTTCGCAAATGCCAGGAGTAAATGCAGGGATGGTGTTGGGTTTTATCTTCTTTTTTTTGCCAAGGTTGTGGTTAAATGTGTGAGAGGGTATTGCTTGTTGGGACTCAGATGTTTATCAGTTCTTATCTCTGTCACAGTCTCACAAACCCTGAGCTCTGCAGCACTTCACTCCAACAAACTAAAAATGGAGCCCTGTCTCTCTCTCTGCAAGGCCTTTGAAGGATAAACTGTCCAATTAAGAAATGACACCTCAATTATTTTTATGTTTAACTCAATAACCAACTACCCATGCCCACAATCGGGACTTTTTTATCCAATGACACAAAACACCCAAACCCATGGAGAAGAAGGAGAAGGAGGAGAAGGAGCAGCCTCCACCCCAAAACCTCCATCTTGCTTTCTATCTATTCCTGTATTCCAAACCCTTCAACTCTGAGTTTCCCACCCTGTGATATCACACACTTCTATCCAAGCTCCACACCTTTAATCTCAGTTTTGTTATTGAATTCTGGAAGCTTCTCCAGGCCCTCAGGTCAGTGCAGTGTTCTCCTGGGGGTCAGTGCCTGGCAGCACAGAAAGTCTGGAATTCTCAGTAACCAGCAGGGTAGCAGAACTTTTCCCAAAACAGAGCCATGCTGTGCACAGAACAACTTGGAAAAGGCCTTCACAATTTTCTTGCTGAATAATAGAGAAACTGAGCCTTGTCCTCTGCTGTGGCTTCATAAAATATTTTAATTCCCTGTGGATGAGCTGTAGGGATTTTTTTTTTTTTTTTTTTTTTTTTATTATTTTTTCCGTTCCCTTCTTTCTTGGCATTGCAGTAGCAGCTGATTTTCAGAGCTGGAATTGATCTCCTGCTGGCCTCAGCCACAGAGTGTGGGGTTTTACAGCCTGCCTGGGGATGTGAGCACCCACTTCTCTGTGGTTTGAGCAAGTGCTGCTGCTCCGAGTCCCGTGGCACTTTTGGAAAAGCCAGCCACGATTTCCCCACCTCCCTGAACCACCTCCCTTTAGAAAGCCCAGGTAACACAGCAGAGGCAGGAATATCAGATAAACCCCGACTCTTAGGGGTAACCGCCTTTTTTTGTTACAAACAGAGTGTAGATGATTTAAATATAAATTAATTTTGTTTCCCCGAAAGCTTTGAGCAGTTGCCATGGAGGGAATGGATCCAGCACCAGCATTCTACACCCCATAAAACCTTTCAGTGCCTTGCAGGGCGTTCGAGCTCTACCAGAAATGAGGAGTTTGCTTTTCTCAACACTCAAGGATTTAATTTTTACATTTCTATTTAATATTCTATTGAAATTTCTCATTAAATTTAGCCTTATTTATAGAGCTATTTCTGTTTATTTTTTACATTTGTATTTATAAAATATATAAATATTTTTAAACATTTAAAATATCTATATAGATAGAATATAAATATTCCATTTAGCATTCTATTTACCTTTCTATTGAAATGTCTATTGAAATACAGCCTTTTTAATAGAGCCATTTCTATTTGATTTTTACATTTCTATTGAAATTTCTATTGAAATTTGGCCTTATTTATACAACTATTTCTATTTCATTTTTACATTTCTATTGAAATTTATTTTGAAATTTGGCCATATTTATACAACTATTTCTATTTCATTTTTACATTTCTATTGAAATTTATTTTCAAATGTAGCCTTATTTATGGAGCTATTTCTATTGAATTTTCACGTTTCTATTGAAATTTCTGTTGAAATTTGGCCTTATTTATAGACATATTTTTATTTAATTTTTTTTGCTCGCTAACATTTTCTCTTTTCCTGTTGCAGGGAAAAGCTTCACCCTGACTATCACAGTCTTCACAAACCCTCCCCAAGTAGCCACGTACCACAGAGCCATCAAGATCACAGTGGATGGACCTCGGGAACCCCGAAGTAAGTGAGCTCAGGGGAGAATTCCCAGTGGGATAAACGGATTTAATGCAGGGGCTCGTCCCCATCCACACCAAATCCAGCAGCATGTGGAGAAATGGGAATGTTTGAAGCTTTCAAATGGGTTTTTTCCTGCCTTCCTGGAGTGTTCTCTCTCACTGGTGTCCAGCTCAACCAGTGACTTGCATTTCTCAGGCCTGGCTTGGCCCAAACCCAAGAGCTGAATGAAGGGATGCTGGGAAAAGGTGGGCAGCAGTACCTGGCACATCATTTCCTGCTTTTCAAATGTTAAGGGCATTTTAAAGCATTGCAAACCAATACGGCATTGATCAAACCCTTCAAACAGGAATAAATGCCATGGTTTGCTGCTTCCTGGAGTTCCCTGAGCCTCAGTTGTGGGACAGCTTGGGTGAAACCATTGATCTGCACAGACAGCAAATCTATCTTTCTTCTTTCTTTCTTTCTTTCTCTTTCTTTCTTTCTTTCTCTTTCTTTCTTCCTTTCTTCCTTCCTTCCTTCCTTCCTTCCTTCCTTCCTTCCTTCCTTCCTTCCTTCCTTCCTTCCTTCCTTCCTTCCTTCCGCCACTTCCTTCCTTCCTTCCTTCCTTCCGCCACTTCCTTCCGCCACTTCCTTCCGCCACTTCCTTCCTTCCTTCCTTCCTTCCTTCCTTCCTTCCTTCCTTCCTTCCTTCCTTCCTTTCTTTCTTTCTTTCTTTCTTTCTTTCTTTCTTTCTTTCTTTCTTTCTTTCTTTCTTTCTTTCTTTCTTCCTTCCTTCCTTCCTTCCTTCCTTCCTTCCTTCCTTCCTTCCTTCCTTCCTTCCGCCACTTCCTTCCTTCCTTCCTTCCTTCCTTCCTTCCTTCCTTCCTTCCTTCCTTCCTTCCTTCCTTCCGCCACTTCCTTCCGCCACTTCCTTCCTTCCGCCACTTCCTTCCGCCACTTCCTTCTGCCACTTCCTTCCTTCCTTCCTTTCTTTCTTTCTTTCTTTCTTTTTCTTTCTTTCTTTCTTTCTTTCTTTCTTTCTTTTTCTTTCTTTCTTTCTTTCTTTCTTTTTCTTTCTTTCTTTCTTTCTTTCTTTCTTTCTTTCTTTCTTTCTTTCTTTGTCTCTCTCTCTCTCTCTCTCTCCCTTTCTCCCTTCCTTCCTTCCTTCCTTCCTTCCTTCCTTCCTTCCTTCCTTCCTTCCTTCCTTCCGCCACTTCCTTCCGCCACTTCCTTCCGCCACTTCCTTCCGCCACTTCCTTCCGCCACTTCCTTCCCTCCCTCCCTCCCTCCCTCCTTCTTTCCTTTCTTTCCTTTCTTTCCTTCTCTCTCTCTTTCTCTCTTCCCTTTTTCAAAAGACTAAAGCACAATTAGGATCTGAAGGATTTGATGTTGCCAGGGAATGCCCAGGCCCTGCACACGGGGTGTTGTTTTGTTCAGGCGCTGAGGGCAAACACTTCTGTCTGGGTGAGATGGAGTGAGGGTGGAGCAGATGTGCAAGGAGACATCACAGAATCAGGGAATGATTTGGTGTGGAAGGGATCTTAAAGATCATTTCATTCCACCCCAGACACCTCCCACTGTCCCAGGCTGCTCCAGCCCCAGTGTCCAGCCTGGCCTTGAGCACTGCCAGGGATCCAGGGATGGAATTCCATGCCAGCCCTGCCCACCCTGCCAGGGAACAATTCCTCATTGCCAGGATCCCACCCAGCCCTGCCCTCTGGCACTGGCAGCCATTCCCTGTGTGCTGTCCCTGCATCCCCTGGCCATTGTCTCTCTCCAGCTTTCCTGGGGCTCCTCCAGGCCCTGCAAGGCCGCCCTGAGCTCAGCCCAAAGCTTCTCCTGTGCAGGTGAGCAATGCCAGCTGTGCCAGCCTTTCCTGCCAGCAGAGCTGCTCCATCCCTCTGCTCATCAGAGGCAATCTTGGCCTCAGTCACCACCCCAAGAGGGCATTTGCATATTGTTATCAAAATGTAAATTGAGGTTTGGGATGAGTTTCTTGCACCCCTCCCACACTCTTGGCAGAAGCTCTGGATGTTGCTTAAGTGGAATTGTCCCGGGAGAACAGAGCAGCAGGACTCAAACACCCTCCAGGGAATGAGACTTACAGCTTGGGGCTGCTTAACCAGGAAAGAAATGTTTCATACTTCAGCTAAAATAGCTTAGAAAACTCAGGTTTTCTTCTGGAGCCTTCACTTACCTGAGTTGCATCATGATCCACATTTTTATTGGAAAAATCTCTCTTTTTTTGGATTTGAAGACAGGCCTTAAAACAAATAGCCTGTTAGAGTAAGGCTTCTTATTTATTTATTTATTCTTATTTCTTTGGTTTGTTGTTTGGGTATTTTTATTTAAATTGTGGTTGAATTGCCCCTGAAAAATATCCTCAGTGAACCAGGCAGCTGCGCACATAAAAAAGATATTTGCATATGTAAAATCCAGATTTGTATATTCAATTACCTGGGCATGCTTGCAGTTTGCAGACAATGAATAAACTTTAGTTCTTTGAATATGCATCTGCTTGAAACCAAATCCTCCTGCAGGCAAACCTTCTGTTGGAAATCAATTCTTCAGTTGGTAGAAGAGTTAATATTTAATGAGATTCTGCATTTTAAGGAGGAAGTGGAGATAGGATCCACACGGAAGCAGCGCTGGGATCTGCCCAACCCAGATGCATGCAAAGGCTTCCCTGGAATTCATAGCCCAAGTTTTAGGCAAATGAACTGCACAGTGAGGGAGCTTTGAGGCATCTCACCAGGAAAGGCTGGGCTCAGAATTCACAGCTTTGTTACTGCTGAGTCATTCATGACACAGCACAAAGGGATTGTGGGATCATGGAATGGTTTGGGATGGAAGGGATTAAAGCTCATCCAGCTCCACCCCTGCCATGGCAGGGACACCTTCCACTGCTCCCAGCCCCAGTGCCCAGCCTGGCCTTGGGCACTGCCAGGGATCCAGGGATGGAATTCCATCCCAGTCCTGCCCACCCTGCCAGGGAACAATTCCTCATTGCCAAGATCCCACCCAGCCCTGCCCTCTGGCACTGGGAGCCATTCCCTGTGTGCTGGCACTGCCAAAGGGAGACGGACTGAGGCACAATCCAGGTCTCCAAAGGATTTTCCCAAGTTCGCAGGACAATGCACCAGGCCAGGAATGGGATGGGCCAAAACCTCAACAGCCACGGCACGAGGTTTGCCTGGTGTGAGGATTGGGCAGAGGGTGAGAAAAGTGCTCAGAGGGGAGAAGGAATCACAGTTGCAAAAAGAAAAGCAGACAGAGAATCCCAGAATCCCAGAGTGGTTTGGGTTGGGAGAAACTTTAAATCCCATCCCATCCCATCCCCTGCCATGGCAGGGACACCTCCCACTGTCCCAGGCTGCTCCAGCCCCAGTGTCCAACCTGGCCTTGGGCACTGCCAGGGATCCAGGGGCAGCCACAGCTGCTCTGGGACACTCTCCCAAGGCCTCATCCCCCCTGAGGGAAGAATTCTTTCCCAAAATCCCATCCAACCCTGCCATCTCTTTAAAACCATTCCCCTTTTCCTGTCACTCTCTGCCTGCAGAGAAATCCTTCTCCTTTCCTTTTCAGAACCTCTGAGCTCTGCCTGGAGCCTTCTGCTCCCCAAGCCCAACACCCCCAGCTCTCCCAGCTTTTCCAATGATCCTATTTTGCTCCCTTCATTTTTAAGTGGGATTTAAAGTCCTCCAGTTTGACTTCTCACAAAGATTTCCAAATCATAGCCACGACCACTCAGACTTTTTTTTAAATTCCTTTGATGGAGACATGGATTGGCCTGGATCTGTGGTGAGTCCTGTCAAACCAGGCCTGCCATGGACTGAAGGGATTTAGAAGGATTTCAGCCTTCTTGGATTGGGATGGGAACCAAAACAAAACCTGCTGGATTGGAGTGTTTTCCTTTCAGGAATGGATATTTGGGAACATTCCCCCAGTTCCATGACTCACTCAGTCAGTTGAGCTGAAGGAATTCCAAACAGGCCGAGATGTTTTCTCCTGATTCACCAGAGATCTGGGGAGCAATAGGAACAAACTGAGATCCTGCTGTCTTCCAGAGATCTAGACAAACCTGCTGAGCTCCAAAACCAACTCCAACTACAGTTTTTGAATGATTTCCTAAAACCAACTCCAACAACCATTTTTGATTCATTTCCTCCATGGTTTTGATGGTTCTCAGACAGCCCGGGTTCCAATAAGTGTAAGGGGCCAGGGGAAGTTCAGATTAGGGATCAGAAACAGTTTGTCCCTGGCAGAGTGGCCAGGCCTTGGGCTGAGCTGCCCAGGGAGGTTTGGAGTCACTGGAATTGTCCCAGAGCAGTCTGGATGTGGCCCTTGGGGACAGGGATTGGAGTGGTGCTGGTGGGGCTGAAGGTGATCCTGAGGGGCTCTTCCAACATTCCTGGGATTCTGTGGCTCTTGGGCTCTCTGGGATGTGTGGAGGTGACAAGAGGTGACAATTACACTGTCACAGGGCCACCTTTGCACAAAGGCCAGTGGACACTGTGTTCCTGCACATGCCATCATCCATGCTGCAATGTCCAGCTCTTTGGCCAGCAGCTAAATTTGCCCTCCAAACTGTCATAAATTCCCATTTGTGGGAATTCCACACTTTCCTTTTTGTCCCATTGGATTCCTGTCTGTGCCTGCCCAGAGAAAACTTCTCAAATTGTCACAGCTCATAAAGAGAGCCAAGGTACTTAAAACCCTGGCTCTTCCTCCCCTGCTTTCATTATGGATTTTTAAAACCTCTTTTGAACTGAGCATTTTTATTCCCCGCTTCTGAATAAATGCTTATTTTCAAAATTTTTCTTTTTTTTTTTTTTTTTTTTTTTCTGAAAAGAAATCCTGCTGCACTGTCAGGGAGAAGGGCAGGATGACCTAACCCATCATTTTCTTCTCTGATTCTATGATTCATAAAGCAATTTCTGTTTTTATGAGCGAGGTCCATGGGGAAAATCATTAGCAGAAACCAGATCAAGAGTAGTGCTCCTGATGAAAATACTTTTGGTTAG